TAAAAAATAAATAAAACAAAATGGGCAGATGAGATGGCTCAGGGGACTAAAGTGCTTTCTTAGGCAAACTTAGGCAAGCTCAGGGACAGTGGATTGGCCTGGCACCACATGCCTCGCTAGCCCTGCCCCTAGGACAGGCTCAGTCAGCTAGAGTCCTGGTGTGGTGGCCCACTCCTGTAATCCCAGCCAGGAGGATCACCATGAGTTGGAGCTGCATAGGTGAGACCCTGCAACAACCAAATAAATTTAAAAAAAAAAAGTTTAAAACAAAACAGAGCAAAACAAAACTAACAACAAAGAAACCAAAAAAAGAATTAAGTTTTGAAGGCAAAAGATATGATTAGAAAGCTGTAGAAGTAAGCCAGGTGGGAAATGGTAAAGACAGTGGCAAGCAAAAATGAGACAGGGATGGTTTTACAGGATTTTTTATTTTATTTTTTAATGGTATTTTGTTTGTTGTTTTGTGAGACAAACTCGCCCTATGTCATTCAGGCTGGCCTTGAACTCCTTTTGCTTCAGCCTTGCAAGTTCTGGGGTTATAGCCAGGCAGTACCACACCCGACCTGAGCTTTTTTAGGGGGTTGATCATTGATTTTTGACTACTGGAAATTTTGGATAACTAGGTGAATAATGAAGTAGGTACTTAGTCATGTGGTTTTGGGTTGGATTTGAGGTGCCTGACATGGAAATGTGCATAGGTTGGGGGAGATAACTCAGTAGAAAAAATGCCTGCCTGGCAAGCACAGGGTCCTAAGTTCAATCCCCAGTTCCACAAAAAAAAAAAAAAAAAGCAAAACATGGAAATTGTGGGTATGATACTTAGGCGAGAGGTCATACTTGGAGACCCCAGTATAGTACACTATGGCACATACATCAAATCTGAATCAGGGTGCCAGGGAGATGGCTCAGTAGAATAAATGCTTGCCTGGCAAGCACAAGAGTCTGAGTTCAATCCCCGGTTCTGGAGGAAAAAAAAAAAAAATCTGAATCAGTGGAAATAAGTAAAATCATTAATAGATAATATATAACATTTGAAGTAAGTAGCTTAAGATAGAATACTAATTGTTGTCATTATTTAAAAGGCAGTTGTGGGGCCAGCGAGATAACTTAGCAGACCAAAGCATCTGCTTAGGCAATCTTGAGCAAGCGCAAGAACAGCGGTTCCACCAGCTCCACCCCCAGGCTGGGCTAAGCCAGCCAGAGACCAGGTATTGTGGCGTACGCCTGTAATCCCAGTACTGGGGAGGCTGAAAGCGGGAGGATCGCCATAGTTTCTCGTAGTGAGACCCTGCAACAACCAAATACATGAGAAAAAAAGGCAGTTGAGGGAAAAAAGAGCCAGGGACAGGGATTGAATTCCATTCTTCTGTGGAATGCTTAGGATGAACGTGCTATGGCTCACACATCTGCCACTTGGGCTGGAACTTACTCCTCTTTAGGTTCCATTTAGAATATGGTGCTACTGTTAATCTACTTCTAATTAAAGTTTCTTTTTTGCTTCCTCCACTGACCACAACAGCCTCTTTGAGGAAAGTGTTTGGCAGGACACACAATGTCTTTCCCTGGAGGCTTGCATTTGAAAACAAACCCAGAAGCAGGTCATCACAGGCCAGGAGTGCACACCCATTACCCTCAGGACTGAAAAAGAAATGTTTTCCTTCTAGAAAATAAGTCCTTTGAGGCACATCCATGTTTGTTACAGCATTTGATGATTAAGTTTTTTAGACTTCAGAAATTTTTAAAATCTCAAACTCTTCTTCCTTCCTCCCAAGAGATAAAAACCTATTTATGGAGTTTTGAGGATTTTGAGGCAGTATGTAGTATGTTCCTGTTTTTCTGTGGGTGAAGAGTCATATGATCTTAAAACTTGAGTAACTCCAGGGTGCATTCCGAAGGCAGTATCCTCAAGCAAGTGCTGTGGAGGATGTAGAAGTTGGTCACTTGTACACCATGTAGCATTCACTTTTTTTTTTTTTTTAATTTATTTAGTGTGTGTGTGTGTGTGTGTGTGTGTGGCCAGCTCAGCCCACCAGGGGGCGGGGCTGGCTGGCATGTGGTGCTGGGGATTGAACCGCGGTCGCTGTGCTTTTGCTTAGCTTAGCTTGTTCTAAGTAGGTGCTTTAGACCACTGAGCCATCTCACCAGCCCCTAGCATTCACTTTTTATTCTTTATGTAATTTCTGATCTAATGAATGATATTCTTTCAGGAAAATCTTGACAGTATCATTGGCTTTTTTTTTTTAATTTGAGTTTTGTTTTTGTTTTTTGTATTGGTAATTGAACCTAGGTCCTTTGCATTGAGTTACATCCTCATTCCTTAGTCTTTCTTTTTTTTCTTTTTTACAAAGCTAGGGTCTTTGTAAATTGTCCAGGCAGCCTCAGCCTCCCAGAGTGCTAGGATCCTTAAGTGTGTTCCACCACACCTGGGATCATTTAGCTTTTTAAGACCAGATGCCTTCCTGGGCATGGTGACATGTGTGCATACAGCTGTTCAGGAGGCAGAAGCTGGAAGATAGTTTGTTCAAGGCTAGCCTGGCCAATTTATTGAGACCCTGTCTCCCAGTAAGGACTTGGTGAAACCCTATCTCAAAAATGAAAAGTAGTCCTGGCACATGTAATCCCAGGACTAGGGAGGCTGAGGCAGGAGAATAGGAGGATCACCTTGAATTTGAGACCAGCCTCAGATACATAGTGAGTTTAAAGCTAGTCTGAACCACATGGTGAAACCCTGTCTAAAAAAGGGGGGCGGGGGCTGGATTGGGGATGTAGTTGTGTGAAGACCTTGGCTTTTAGTCTTCAGTACTACAAAACAAAGTTTTCTGTAATAAAATGAGGTAGCCACCTTGGCAAGTGCAAGGTCCTGAATTCGATTCCCTGTACAAAAAAGAAGGAAGAAAGGTAAAATAAAAAGGGCTGGGGATATAGTCAGAGTGAAGGCTGTGGTTGTCTCCAGTACCAAAACCCAAAAAGGACCCCATATCACATTGTTCCTGTCAGGTTAACATTCTGTTCCTGTTGGATTTGATGATTTTGTGGGCAGGATCATGCAAATTCTCCTTTTATCTTAGGAGTTTGACTGTGGTATCATGTATGTACTATTTGCAAGGAAATTGGAGGCCCACTAGGACACAAGTCATGTTGCTTACTTGTCTGATGTGTCCCTTTTTCACTGAAAAACTTCTCTTTATTTTTGCTGTAGGTGAGATTGCCATTCTTGGTGGTGTAGAGGAACAGAATGAGAAGCTGTGGAGCTTTACCAAAAAGGCTTCACACATTCAATTGGACAGGTAAAAGAGTTTACGTCTTTTGGGCTTAGCCATTTAAACTATATCTTCTTGGGCTGGGGAGATGGCTCAGTGGAATAAGTGCTTCCCTGGCAAGTGCAAGGCCTAAGTTCAATCCCTAGTTCTGCCAAAAGTAAATAAATAAACAAACAAACAAACAAACAAACTATATCTTTTCTGTTCCTGTCAAAGATTCTGAGTAAAATAGGTAGAAAATATATTTTTCAAAGTTTGACTATTCCTTATCACTAACTGCTAGCATAAAATAGGATTATATTGTTTAACATAGTATTACTGAAGATCTTTTTCAGTTCCAATATATGACAGTTGTTAAATATTTTAAAATTCTGGGGCTCTGTTCCAACAGCACATATGCCAAAATTGGAATGAAGAGTCCAGTGTAGTAGTGCATGCCTATAATCCCAGTACTTGGGAGGCTGAGGCAGGAGGATCAATGTGAGTTTGAGGCCAGCTTGGGTTAGAAGACCCTGTCTCAAAAAAATAAAAATAAGAAATAAAATAAAATATATATATAATAAAATTTGAATGACACAGAAATTAGCATGGCCAAGCTGAGAATGGTGGCTCTCTAATCCTAGCACTTGGGAGGCTGAGGCAGGATTATTGAGAGTTTCAGACCAGTCTGGGCTATAAAATCAGCTCAAGGCCAGTCTGAACTGCATAGTGAGATCCTGCCTCAAAAAGACCAAGAAAGCAAGCAAGTAGGCAAACAAATTAACATGGCCTTTATAAAGTAAAAGAGAAATACATGAATATATCATTGAAACTGAATCATATTTCAATAAACCAGATCTTTTGGTATAAAACTAACAGTTGTTTCTTTTCGTTCTTTTTTTTTTTTTTTTCCCGGAACCAGGGATTGAACTCAGGCCCTTGCGCTTGCCAGGGAAGCGCTTATTCCACTGAACCATCTCCCCAGCCCCTGAACTAACAGTTGTAATTCTTCCAGTTTTCTGTTCTGCTGTGAAGAGAATCTTCATGTTACATAAACCTCTCACTAGAAAAAGTTCCCACAGCTGTGAAAATTACTTACTAAAGACTTTAGGATCCTTCCAGCATGTTAAGTGATCTGAACTATTCCTTGTGTTTTTTAACTCCTTAATGAAGTCTCCTAAACACTGGGCTTTGTTTCTTTAGCTTACCGGAAGTGCCTTTGCTGGTTGATGTGCCTTGCTTATCTGCTCAGTTGGATGATTCCATTCTTAACATAGTGAAAGACCACATTTTTAAACATGGGACAGTGGCGTCCCGTCCACCAGTACAGATAGAAGAGCTGATAGAGAAGCCTGGGGGCATCATCGTCCGATGGTGTAAGGTATGTAGTATAGAACTGCAGGAGTGGAGTGGCTGGGACAGTGGATTTGAGGTTTTGAATGCTTTCTTATCTTTCCAAGCAAAAGTCCCTTTTGCTTTACAGTACAAATAAAGTTATGCAGAACGTGAACTGAAGTTGTTCTTCCAGTTTGAAACAGACATGTATTTATGTATGTATGTATGTACTGAGGGTTAAACCCAGGGTCTTCACATTGAACTGTGTATTTCCAGCCCTTTTTTCTTTTGAGACAGACCCTTGCTTTATTGCCCAGGCTGGGATTGAACTTGTGATCCTCCTGCTGTCTCCCACTGTAATGGGTACTCTCACACCTAACTGAAATAAATAGGGTTTTTTTTTATTTTTTTTTATTTTATGTTTTTGTTTTTGTTTTTCCAGGGGCAGGGGTAGGGAGAATAGGGTTTCACTGTGCAAGTTAGGCTGGCCTTGAATTTATATTGTAGCCCAGGCTGGCCTTGAACTTGTAGGAATCCTCCTGCCTCAGCCTGTAGTGCTGGGATTTCAGGTGTATACCAGCACACCTGGCAGATACTGAGTCTTAAATTTCTTATGTTTTATTTAGCTTTATTGTTGAGAAAAGTATGCCATTTCTTCAAAGGAAATAGATTTTTTTTTTTAATTTCAAGACTGGAAAATATTGAGTTCATGGTCCAATAAAAGAAAGGAAATAGTCAGAACCACTCATTTTAGTAAAGCCTTCCCTAGAATGGGCCCTGTTCAGCACATGAGTCTGTGTGGTTGGTATAGAGTGTTATCCCCCATTATTTTGGTATTTTAGCATAACATAAAGCCCTTTTTTCTTTAGGTGGATGACGACTTTACAGCCCAGGATTACAGGCTTCAGTTCCGTAAATGTACTTCAAATCATTTTGAAGATGTATATGTAGGCTCTGAAACTGAATTTATAGTACTGCACATAGACCCTAATGTTGATTATCAGTTCAGAGTCTGTGCCCGAGGAGATGGCCGGCAGGAGTGGAGTCCTTGGAGTGTCCCCCAGATAGGTCATTCCACATTGGTGCCTCATGGTATGCCATTACCCTCTCTCTCCTGAAGCCTAACTATGTATATTGGAATTTGCTTATATTCTGTACAAATGGACATGCACTACTAGCCTTTTTCATAAGGATGAATCATGAATTGCTGATAATATGAAACGTGTGTGTGTGTGTGTGTGTGTGTGTGTATGTGTGTGACTGAGAATTGAACCTAAGGC